TAACACTGCTCTTGTCCTTCTCCATTGTTTTCTCCCTTGGTTTTGACAGAAGTCCCCTTTGACAGGCGATCGGTTTGTGGGCGACTTGAATTCCATATGATTCGAGCAGTCTTGCTATCATTTCCGAAACATCTTTGATGTACGACAGGGTCGTTCTTGTTCCCGATTCTCCGTCTGTTGTTTCCTTCGTTCTTTGAGTCAGAGCTCTTTAGATAAAGGTGCGGGTGTAGTCATTGCAAGCAAATAATCTGAGAAGATATCTTTCTTGTTTCTTCTTGAGTGCATCGCTCTTGCAATGCACTTGGATTCTTCCGAACAGGGTTCTAACACAGCATCTTTTTTTGGCTGTGTGGATGATTACTTTGAAGTTTAGGATTGGATCCGTATGTGTTGCTTTGTGGTAGACTGTTTTATCCACTTTTCCTGATGGCGTTCTGATAATCAAGATGTTCAAAAATACCAATTGTTTATCCTCCCCTGTCTCCATTGTGAACTTGATGCCATTGAATGTGTGATTGATGACGTTGTGTGTTCTCTGTAGTTCCGACTTCTTCAAGATGACGAATGTGTCATCAACGTATCGGAGCCAAAGTTTTGGTATGATTCTGGGTAGTACCTCCTTCTCCAGCTTCTACATTACGACTTGGGCTATGAATCCAGAAATTGGTGATCCCATTGGTGTTCCTTTCAGTTGTTTGTAGATTTCACCCGCGAATTTGAATTACGTCTGCATACATAATTCAATGAGTTCGTAAATTGCAGCTGGTTCCATTGGTTGGTTTGGTCCGTGTTCAGTTATCAAGTCTCGCAACATGGATCTTGTTAGGTCCAAGTCGATCGAAGTAAACAAAGCGGTGACGTCGAACGAGACCATTATTTCGTCTTCATCGATAATGAAATTGTTGAGCTTGACCAGGAACTGTCTTGAGTTCATGACGCTATACTCGTGTCTAGCGATGACCGGTTTCAGTCGTTTCCATAATTCCTTTGCTAACTTGTGTGTAGCTGTTCCGGGAATTCCTTCCTTGTGTACCTTCGCCAGTTCGTAGAATTGTGAGATGACGGAGTTTTTTGGCTCTCATTCTCCAGGGCACCTCTTTGGTTATTTGATGAGATTCTTCCAGTCGTTTAAATCTGGTATTGATTTTGTTTTCCAGTTTTTTTCGGTGGAGAAGACTATATATATATAGTAACGAACGGGTACAAGCAGAACACTGCCACTTCAGAAGCACTGATGATTTCACGTCGGCTGGTGATGAAACGTTTGCAAACAAATTGTCAATTGTGCAAATGGTTGTTTGGCAGATTTGAAGTTTCTTTGGTGATCGTGAAAAGTTCAATAGCCTTGTTGGGGTTCGAACCCACACATGGACGCCTCCTGCGCTTTGTACGCGCATGCTCTACCAGGTGAGCTACGAGGCCACACCGATAGCACTGATCTTTTTCACATTCCAATTTGCTCTACCAGCTGAGCTACGAGGCCACACCGATGGTATTCACCAATTTCACATTCCTTTGTACGCGCATACTCTACCAGCTGAGCTACGAGGCCACACCGATAGCACTGATCTTTTCACTTTCGAATTACTCATCCAACTTACAGAGGTATATGGCATCCATCAATCAGCATGTAAGCTGACTGCCCGACAGGTAATTCGAATGTGAACGGATCAGTACTATCTACGTGGCCTCGTAGCTCAGCTGGTAGAGCATGCGCGTACAAAGCGCAGGCGGCATCCATGCGTGGGTTCGAATCCTACCGAGACTACTGAACTTTTTACAATCGCCATACAAATTGTCAATTGCTCGGTGGACAGGCGAAATGAAATTGATCAGATTTGCTAGTCTGTCTGAAGTGCCCCTAGGCATCGTGGCGAAATTTCACACTTTCATATAACACACAGACATGCACGCACACACATTGGTAGTTACTGTTCAATTCATGTACACATTTTTGGCATCCATCGCTGCTGTTGTTATTGCTGCTGTAACAACTGAAAACGCATTCTTCAATCGAAGCGGTGCACAATAGCCGCTCTTTAGGAAGTGATGAGGCGGCTGGTGGTTTGCGACGGCTTCCAGAACTAAATCTATTAAAATTGTCCGGATTCTCTCCAGTGAATACTCTGGAATAGAGCACTTGAATGCACTTCATTGATTTGTGGCTACCAAATTTATCGATTATCCCCCCCCCACCGGGTGACGGTGTGTCATTTTTTATCAGCCTGTTTTGCAGATATTTTAATTGTCCTTGTCTCAGCAATCTCCGGTACAATTATATTTGCTTTCAAGAATGTTACGGGTCTTTACGCGCCTATCATGTACAATCATCGTCAGTCGACTTGCATTCAATATGCCTGTGGCTCATTCTCTGCGATTGATTTTTTTGTCACGAGAAATTCAAACATGGAGAGAAAAATACATCTGTTTTATAAATCCCGTGCTGGGCTGCAGTGAATCAATCGGCTGTTTCATTCACATACGTACGTGTATGAACGACCGAGCACTGCTCATCTTTCGGGCAGGGCGGTGATCACGTGATATATTGGCCGTCGATCGTATTTCATTCAATCGACTAGCATCATCATCATCATCTTATCGTACGTACCAAAGACCGGATTCTCTCTTCGTCAACATTCACCTTGAAAAGAATAAGCTGAAATGAAAAGTGTTGTCAGTAGTTAAGGTAATGGTAGTTCTGCGAGTAGTAATGAATCGGCTCCTCTTGTGACTTGTGCCCTCGCTTACACAACCGGGTGACAAATATTCATGGACAGCACGATTGGGTCGGTGTGAGAAAGTCTGTAACTAACGCACAAATAAACAAACAACACGCGTGCACACATACATAGACACTATCGTTACATCTATATACCTCAATCGTTTGTAATTGTGGTGTGGTGAGGAACGCTCTAACTGCTGATTGGTTCATCCGGATCCAAACGAACCAATAGGAAGCTAGCGTGAACTGTGTGCCTCAGTCCCATTCAAATGAACCGGGCTAAGTCGCATGTGTGTGCGCGTGCGTGTGCGCGAGTACCTTCACCCCAGTGTGTGTGTGTGTGTGTGTACCTTGTGTACGCTCACACCGTCACCTGGCTCGACCGCGAGGTGTGTGCTCCCGTATGTGTGGTTTCCTCTTCTCTCACAACTTCCTACACCCCTGTATAGCCATACAGACCTTAAAATTTGCCATCCTAAAATTTGGTGATTACAAGTTGGGATACACACGGCATCGCATGCGGACAAACAACTACATAGATGGCTACGCAACCGACTGTTCACGGGCGTCCATGTGTGTGTGCGTGCGCGCGCGCATGAGAGAGAGAGAATCTCAGAGAGGTGGCGAATCGCAATCAAGTGAAATGGTTAGTGACACTATAGTATAGACAAGTACGAGAGTGATGTGTTAAGTGATTCGAATTGAAGATTTCCTACACAAACACACATACACACACTGAATTCCATCCATACAAAGATTTGTGCGCTTACCCGTTCCCTCTTACAGTGTATCAACAAAATAATCGCCTGTTTGTGCGCGCACGTGTGTGTGGTGTAGTGTACGAGGACCTCGCTCAGCTGACCGAGAATGATCTCACTGCACACAGTGAATTTCGACAGGTCTACTACTACTGCTACTACTACTCTTCCCGTTTGGAATGCCCAACTCGATTTGAGCACAAACGTCTCAAACACATCCACACACGACCTGTTCGCATCACCGCCGCCGCCATTCCCTGGCTCGTATCCGAACCACGGCGCTCACACGGTCTACCGGGCGGATTCACGCGGACTGGCGATCGCTGAGAAACGACCAAACTGCCTGTGGACCAATTCTGCCGCTGTCGGTGGTGGTGGTGGAATGATCAGCGGCGATTCTGTGGGACGACTATTATACGCGAACGAGAAATTGAAAACAAAAGAAAAACTGAAACATTCCATTCCCGATGTATCCAAGTGTTTAATAACTGCTCGAACAGATCAAGCAACAATAGTCGTGGTAAGTTGATCATTCCGTAAATAATCACCGATGGAGAGGAAGTGTGAAAATGTGGACTGAAAATCATTTGTAAAGTGTATCCCAGTTGTGCTGTTCATTGTCTAGTATATTTTTTGCTATATAGCCATATCGTTGACGGCACCAAATAGATACGCTACTTACCGATGATCAGATCTATGACAGTTACAAACGGGAGTTAAATTTAAATCAATAGCTAGCAAAAATCGATAGGACTCAGTAATCGATCACGGGCAGTGTGGATGAACGAAAATCGATATGCTTGGAAATGTTGGTATTTGGAGAATTTCTGTAGAAGTTAATGCCAGAGAGTGAAAAACGATATGTAGAACACGTAGATGAATGAGAGCGGCATTTGGATAGATCGCCATGTAAAGAATGAGTGTGGGGTCAGGGAGGATTTTCTGTGCAATTGTTTCACATGCGGCCAAGTGTGGTTCACACATTTGTTTAGATAGAACATCACCGGGTATGAAAATCACACGACTGATGATCGCCAAACCGCAACGAAGAATTTTGAATTCTTTTTTGAATAGACCAACAAATACCATCAGGGGCCTGTAAAGAAGAACGGGTTAAACACATCGATAAACAGAAAAGCGAAATGGTTTTTTTGTGTGGGATTGAACTGCCTAAGTCTTCGCATTTGAAAAGATAATCCACGAAGTTTCTGTACAGAGTTGTAAATATGGAATGTCCACCGTAAGTTTGTGTCAATTGTAACTCTTAAATACCTCACGGGATCTGTTCTAGTTAGGGGATCTGTGCTTCTGACCGAGGGGGCACGGGGATAAACAGATTGAGAGAGGGTAAAACTGTACTCGAAGAACTTGGATAAATTTAGAGACAGCCCAGAGCGAACGGAAAATTTGTGGATATGCTACAGATTCCCGGAGAAATTTGGAAGGTTCTGTGATACAGAAATGGCTTGACAAAAATGCTACTTCGTCAGCGTACTTAAACAAATTGGGCTGGAGGACTAGCTGACAGATCACTGATGTAGGTATAAATATAAGAATGGAGTTAGGACAGCGCCCTGTTCACGAGTGGTTCAGATGTTTTCCTACCGAGCCGAGTATGTTGAGTTCTGTTTGTGAAGTTGTCAACGAACCACGCCAGTAGGTGCCTGGGACAGCCAAATGATTCTGTTTTACGTGGGAGGATGGATCGTGGAACAGAGTTGTGTGTGTGAGAGGCTTGAATCACGCTTGTTTGAAAGCCTAAAATGAAACAACAATTGTATTTTTTTTTACCTTTTTTTGTAAATATCAATAATCGGTTTCCAAGCTCGATAATCTATAATGATTTGTTCAGTCTGAGAACAATAAAATCGGAGGGTATGATGGAGGAACGGAGAGCCATTTTGATTGATCCCCAGCAGTCTGAATTTTCAATTTTAATTGATAGACAATGAATATCACCTGGAAATTTTATTTTGCCACATTACACGTGGGAACTTCTTTTTTTTTCTAAATCTCAGAACTATATTCTCCGAAACTGGACCTATGTACTGCAATCGGTTTAGGAGGAATTATTCGATTCATGGCTTACGTAAACACGTTTTTTCTTCTTCCTTTTTTTGTAACTTGTGTAAGCTTATAGGCTTACATTTTTAGTTACAAATGTACACTGGACGTCATACGGAATAAAGTGTATAGTTTCAGATAGCATACAAAGTAAAGAATGTCGCTGAAGTTTGTTTTATGTGAAAAAAAATTCTGACGCAGTTCACCTGTGACCTGTTCCTTATTAGTCTCGGAGTCGGGTCAGGTGGGGTACACCGGAATTATGATGAATTATGATAATACGAGAGAGTAGATACCGAAAAGAGGAATGTATGGATCGAAGAGAACGACAAGACGATCTATATAGATGGGGATGCAGTGGATGAAGAGAGTGGTCTGGAACCTTTTTGGCAAATTGAACACAAGGGTTGCTGCGAATAATAATGAGCTCTGTGATTAACGAATCGATTGAGATTAATGATACACGACTGATTATCACCAAAGCACAAAGAATGATTTTGTAATCTTGTTTTTTAGAGGCCAAAAAAGCACTAAAGGGGGGGGGGACGCATCGATGAATGCAAGAGGATTGGAATAAGTGTGAGACTGGGAACAGCCTGAGTTGCTGATTTGCAGACTACTCCTGTAGTGGTGAACTGATCGCCGCCTGAGGACTGCTGTGCTCCTCCGGACGTTTTTCTCCACACAACACTCCGTTCACCTCTTCTAATCATAGAAAAACGCTTTTGTTTCTCGTCTAGCCGGGCCCGAGTAGTGAGTAGTCTACTTCTATTCGATCGTGTTCACGCATTTTATGCAATGTTGCCAACTGCTGATGTGCGAGTAATCTTACAGTCGTAGCAACTGTGATGCATGTTTTCAGTCGTTCCATTCGTTCCACATCCTTGCACTTCTACAACTTAATTTCCCTAACCGGTGAAGTGATTTTCATCCCATCGTCAAATAGACAAATTTTACTGTTTTGCAGATTAAATTATAAAATGTTTACTAGCCTCTTCTGGGTTCGAACCCCCGTGTGGCCAGTGCCTGCGTTTCTGCACAGTGTGCTCACCACCAGCTAAGCTAGGATTCGATTTGAAAAGCTCACTGCTATCGCTGTGGTTTCGTAGCTGTGTACAATGCGCAGGGCCGTGTTCGTGCGTGGGCTCGAATCCCACCGAGGCTGCCAGTTATCTAAATGTATCAATGACGGATACTGTTTTTTTTATTCATATTGCATGCTAAAAAAATATTTATTCATAATACACTTAAGGCAATTGCTCTTCTCAAAAGAAGTTGTTTGTACATTCATGACTACTTGAACCCCCGTCTCAGCGGTATTTCACTCACATACTTTTCTCACGATCCGGTTTGTTCGGTTCCTTTTTGCCGAATCCCTAAAATTTGATCGGTACTCATGTGTTGGCTATCTAGTACACACTTCTTTAGGATGAGAGGTTGAATTGTGCATGAAAGATTCCTGTCAGAATGTCAAAAGAGAAACAATACAGTAGTGAGCAAGCTTATTTTTGTAGCTTTGTCTTCAGGCATTTACATTTATGTGTGTGTGTATGTGTGTTTATGTGTCTAATGTGGAAATAAATGTGGTTGGTCCATTGAGGTTAAGTGTAAAAATACAACAATGTCTGTCAAATTTGATCGGAGCGAATGGAGCAAATAGGGGCAAAGATGGATCAAGGTCAATTCTGGAAATTTCCGATGACCTTTATCATGTGCAATTTGTCACGCCATGTTGCGTCATCACGACATGACTGAGGTCATGGTTCGGATCGTCACGTAGGTTTGATTGGGGTCAAGACAGCTGAAGTGCGGCAAACATTTTCTTCTGTTTGTAAAGGAGGGTGAGTTCATGATTTTGATTGCTACAGTTTCTGCCTTTACCAAGTGACGTTTCCGAACGTACTTCGGCCATGACTTCAAATGCTTCGTTGTCTGGCTGGTGCCCGGTATCAGCGAAGTGGGCCACAATCGCACTGGTTATTATTGTTTTCTTGCAACCCGTTTATGTTCCCCGATCCCTAGTGAGAACTGTCTCATCGTTTGTCCTACATAACTTGCCGAACATGATGTTCAAGTGAAAGAATAGGTAGTCATAGATAAGGAGAGGATGGACAGCTTATTGTTGAGGTTTGTGCAGTTTGTGCTGTGACCGGCTTGTAAACATCACATGTAAGATGGTGGCTGGATATGTCCGTGCAATTGCTTTTTCCAGACATCTTTTTACTAGATCACCACTCGTATCGCCTTTGAAATGGGAGCTGTAAAAATAGTTCTCTCTTTTTGGCCATGATTGGTTTTGGCAGTGTAGGATCTTCTATGAGGTACTTCTCGATGAAACGCTCCGAGTATCCAATATTCAGGAGTGTAGATTTGATGAATCTAAGTTCTTCCTCCACTAGATCCTTGGAGCAGATCATTCGAGTTCTGAAGATATTGGACTAAGTTTCCTTTTAATTTCATTGGGACGAAACTTTGGAAATGAATTGTAATCTACATTATCGGTGGGCGTGCATTTGAAAAATAAAACTCGTCACTAATGAGAAAGAGACGAAGAAGAGGAACTAATTGTGTTCATCGATCATCCGTGATTAGCAAACGCGACAGGTTACGATGCACATTGGAAAAAAAAACAGAGTTGTATACGAAAAGTGCAAATGATTAGATCACTTGTAGTAATTGAACAGTAGCCAATCATATAAGAGAAAACTGAAGTTTTACAATTCAATAAGTTGCTGAATGTGGTAAACGGAAGGAGGTTTCGTTTATCTATCTATCTATCTATCTATCTATCTATCTATCTATCTATCCATCTATCTATCTACGCGCGTCTGCACAGTTGGCTTTCACCAATCTATTCCAAGTGTTACTTCCATTCGGTGATTTGTAGCACGCTGAATAACGGTTTCATTTCTGATGATGCCGGTGTAGATCCACTGACCTCATTTCATTCGGGTCTCAACCTCCCAGTTGACAGATATACGCGTTCAACCAGTTTAAAGCATTACTGCACTGCTGTGAAGGCGTCATTCAATACAGTCGTTTGATTGGATGATTTCTTTGTGTTTTGTTTTCGCATGTGTGTTGAACCAAACCAGCGACCAGATACGGTGTGAATCTGAACAAGTGCGATTGTCTCCGTGTGCGTGACAAATAACTGGCGCCATAGTCATTTTCTTCTCAGATGCATCGAATCGGGTTTAGGTACAGATGTGTGTGTGTGTGTGTGTGCATAGGTGGAATGAGTTATCACCGAGCCCCATCACCATCACTTTGGCTAGCTAGCTACTATCATCATCTTCATCATCATCATCATCACATTCAACATCCTCCACAACCACAGCATCAGCCTCATCACCACCAATACCACGAATTTTTGGCAATTCTTTTGACAACTGCTCAATGCACGAAATGTCGTATCCATTTGTCAGGTGTATCCAATTTATGTCCATCGAATTGTGCTGTACA